CTGACTCAAATTTTGCAATTCCGTGAAATTTAATAATATTATCATGAAATTGGATTTCTCTTTGAAGCTTAAGCTATATATAATAAATATAAATTTAATAATAAGTATATATTACAAAAAATTATTGAAGTAGTGATATTATCATATTTCTTAATTACCTCATGAATTATTTCTTTGACAGCGACGTCATTAAGATTAAAAAAAGATTTCAATGCTACGTATTGTTCTGAATTTTTCCAATTCGCACGATAAACTTTTCCGAATACGCTGGAACCAATTTCTTGAATATTATGAAAATTCTCATATTCATAAAGTTTATAATATTCTTTATCAATGGCTTCCTCAATCCAATTAATAAATTCAATTTTATGTTCGTTGTCTTGTATTTCGATATTATTAGACATTGTAGATTATGGGAGTATGGTAGATAACAAAGAATAAATCTTTTTGTACAGAAAATAGTTTATTTATAGCTAAAATTAAGCAGAAAGGAAAGAAATAACTTCTTGTGTCGTTTTTTTTATTTTGCTCTTCGGCATTGACGACCTCTATTTATATAAATAAATTCAGGTACAATCGTTACAACTAGCCAAATGATATTTTACAAAGAATATTCATTTTTTTAGTCACGTGATCTGTATGCAAATTATAAATTGTTATGTGCATTTACGTAGCAGTGATGGGCACTACATCTAAAAAGGACTTTAGAACCATGCATTATGTACATCAACGTGAAGAACCCATTCTTTAGGAACTCGAAAAAAGAAATTTACGAAACTTAATAAAATGCATTATGTTTTGAACTCCGACGGCGTGTCAGTATGATGTGCATTGAAAGTATAAGTATAAGAAAAGATTTACCAATTTCACGGAGGTTAAACAGAAAAAATTCTAGCTGTATTTGTGCATTGCAATCGAATAAATGAGTTTAAATAAATCAATAACAATAAAATTTTTGATCTATATTTAGGTAAACTTAGTGTTAATTATATATGGATAAAAACAATAAAAAAACGAACAATAAAAAAAAAAATTAGTAAAAAATCTTTTTTATTAGTAATAATTAATAAGGGAATAAAAAATAAGAGGATAATATGAGAACCGAAAATTAAAATATTTTAAGAAAAATTTTAAAAAAAATTATTTTGTTTAGAAAACCAATTAAAATCAATTTAGTTTGAAAAAAAAAAATGAAAAAAAAAAAATTTCGGTCTACAAGAACCGGAAAAAAACGGTATTTTTTTTAAAAAAAAAAAATTTAACAAAAAAAAAACATATTAAAAAAAATTAAAATTTAAAAAAAAACCATTATACTTTAACCGTGATGCGATCTGATGCGGCCAATCCATGGGAAAAAAAAACTCCTTCATACATAATAAAAAACAGCTAATAATTGTTTATTTGCTATAGCCTACAGCGCAATGATGTAAATTGGGCCTGCGCAATAGTATGATAATGATTGGCACTCTGCATATTCCACAATTTATCGACAAAGAAAAGCTATTAGAAGTATGGAATTCTCTATTGACAAAGAAAAGTCATTAGTAAAATGGAACTCTATTTAGAATCCCATTTGGAAAGGGACTATAATTATTTTGTGGAAATTTGGAAACATCTTTTCGATATAGATAACTAGCTTTTTTGCTATATGCGGGGGAATTCCCCACTTACCATAGTTAATTTTTTTGTAATTTTTAGATTTATATTATTTAAAAAAACCAAAAAAAAAATTTTTCGCCAAGTAAATTCTTTTACGATACGTATTGTTGTAAGTTGTTTATTGATGCTGCAGTGCTACACTGAATAAAGCATGATTATTATTTTTTTTACTAAGTTTTTTTCATTTCGGATCAAAGCTGCAATGATACTATTGTGGCGTACGGTAAGTTATAGATCGATCAATGAGATATTTCCTTTTTTATTTGATTTAGGATTATATCTGATTAGATTGATGCTGGTGCTACAGTATGAAAATTTTTTATTAAAAAAAAAAGAAACATTTATTTTTGGCCGGATAGTTTGACGGATATCAAAAACCTTTCAACTTGTACGGTCGAACCCTTTAAAAAATTTTCTCTTTCTACTAATGATTTTATCAATGGCCACGATGTAGAAGATTTTGAATGGATCAATATAATCAATATAAAAATATAAAAGCAAGACGGATGGGAAATATAGTAAATTCTCAAGAATGAATTTATAATTTTCGTTAATAAATTGTAAATAAGCATCTTTACATGTAAATATATAATGACATTTAACATTTAGTAATAAATAATTTTTTTTTTTGTGCGCGCATATTATAATTATTATAATTTTAATTTCATATATAAAGCGTATATAAAAAATTTTTTTTTTTGTATTTATCTTTCAAATTTGTTTAAGCGGAAAATGCGCACATGATTTTAAAGTTTGCGCCAATAAAAATAATTTTTTTATATTTTTTGTCGAAAACAGATTCATTCAAATCGAATTTTCGTATATTTTGTATCCGTAAAAATTATGGTGCCGAGAGTTGTCATTTCGGAGTAACTAAAAAGTTAATGCAATAGATACTATTACTAGAAAACGGGAAGTCCGGAACGAAAAACTAAATTTGCGATTTCATTGGGTGACGATCACGTGGCGGGCAGAAATTCACGTGATCGATTTTTTTTTCATAGTGCGTAGACATATATTGTCCTTCGCTTCGCTCCGCATTTATTTATTTTCAAAACCCGGTATACCCACTAGCCACTAACCACTAAACGTAGGGATGTGGTGGGATAGTAACCCAAGAATTTTTTAATATCCAATTAATTACCTAATCATGATCATGGAAAGTAAAACGCGTAATTTCACGAGCACAAGCACTGATCGATTGTTAGTTATATTATGGATTTAAATTTATTAAACAATTTCTCATGTTTCGTAATTTGTAGTAAAGTTTACATGCAATAAAGGTTTCTTTAAGATGAATTGAATTTCGCAATTACATTTTTAGACGAATGACCTTTACTGATTTTATATTATATAAATAATATACTGCACATTCCCAAACTTAGCTTTCAGTTGATTGTATCAACTTTATATTTCGTTATCCATTACTTTATTAAATAATATAATAGTGCTAATTGTCTAATCACTCCAATGAATCAAAATCGGAAAAAGAAATCATGATGGTTTGAATTAGAATTATGACATTCAATTAGGGTAGTGTTGGCGTTAGGTTAGGATTAGGAATAAGATTATGTTCCCAGTAAATAGTTTTTGTATAAATTTATACCAAACGGGCTCATTTGCTCGGAATTAGCTCAAATTTATGCAAAAAATAATCCAAATTTAAGCCAATCTAGAGCCAATTATATATGGATGAGCCCATTTGGTACAAATTTATACAAAAACTATTTGCTGGGGTTACGGTTAGAGGTTAGGAGCTAGTAGGGATTGGGGATTGGGGGATAGGATTAGGGATTAGAGATTAGGGTTTAGGTTTAGGTTTAGGGAAATTCAGAGTAATGATCAGAACTCAATTATTTTATCAATTTTGTAGTAATTGTGATTTGCGAAGATAATTTTATTTACAAAAAAATTACATTTATTTTTGTTAGTTTTTTACAATATAATTAATATAATTTATAAGTGGGTGCACACAATATAATATACGCGTTGTCATAATTTTTAATAAATATATTAAATATTTATACCATGCGTAAAGTAATAAGAGTTTAAATTTTATATACATCCCTGCATTTTGCGCAGGTGCGTAGAAACAAAAACGATTATTTAAAAGCTGAATAAATTATTAAAAAAATGGATGCCACAAATGTAACCCACTTAAAAGTAGGGATGGAATCGATTTTACTACAAAGTTAATTCTGGCCGGGATTATAAACCTAGCCGGAGTTACTACCGATCTATACAAAAACATCTCATTTGAATAAAAGCTAAATAAATAAAATGGCTTTATGTTAAATTTGTGATCATCAGAGTTGCTCTGCCACAAATTTAATGGTGCACAATCGATTAGAAATGATTAATCGGAATCAAAAATCGAATTTTAGAGTCGAAATGATTAATCGTGATTAATCGATTCTAATTATGGGAATCGATTCCAATCCCTGAATCCTATTCACATTCTTCAATACTGTGATCTTTTGAAAATACCAGGCTATGATGCTGATTGTCCATCTATTGAACTCACGTCTTTATTGTTCTATCTGTCAAAAATATTTTCTTACTCTTGCCTTTTTAACAAATTATAAACGCACAGCACATCCTGCTACTCGAGGACGCCCAAAAAAAGATCAGGTTAAACAAAATTCTATGATTCTTGGTAATTTTTCTCTTTTACCTTCACAACAACCAGAACATATTGTCCCGTCTAATAAATTAAGAGAATCATTATGTCAGATGGGGAGTGAATATATATTTGAATGAATTAAATTGAAAATTTTGTCTCATTTTTGTAAAAAATACGTAAAATGCAGATTTATTTGCAATAGCAGTACATTAAAAAAATGGAATATGCATCTTTAACGCAGATTTTCTATAAAACTATCACTATTATTTAACTTAAAATTTAAATTCGTACTGTATATTAAATTAAAAATACAAAATAAATTAGATAAAAAAAAAATTTTTTTTTTCAAAATTAAAATCCGACGAATCAGATTATGACCATAGATCATATGATATACAACTTTGCTGAAACCTATCGATTTTGAAAAATATGGTAGAAACATTTTTAAAATATGATCACCATATTGCATACGTATTTCTGTTAACTCTGTTGTAACTCGATAACAGCAATATGTTAAGCATATGTCAAAAATATGAAATAAAAATATGTCTAGAATATGTTAAACATCAATCAAAAATATGATGAAAATATGTAATAGGAATATTTTTATTATATATCAAAAATATGTTGGAAATATGTAATAGGGATGTTTTCATTATATATTAAAAATATGTTGGAAATATAATAAATCAATTTATTAAAATAATAAAAAATTTATTTACATATATACAATATATGGCTCTAATGTTTCTCTCATCTATTAAAAAATTTAATATTATTATCCATGATATCAATACCACATTATAATAAAATATAACATCGATTTCCTTCATTATGCTCAGTACTATGTATTCCTACAATTGTGTATAAAGAATAAACGTGAAATGTGATCAACAAATGTAATTGGAAAATTTTGAAACCGCCGTAGTAATTCTTTAGGCTTCTGTAAAATAAAATAAAATAAAATGTTAGTATCATTTCATTAATAAAAAATGCTAAATAAATTAAGTTTCTAAAATCAAAACTTACCATCCAATCCACCCAAGAACCAGAAATCCATTTCCTATAAAAAGAGAGGAAAAGTAAATATTAATATTCCTTTAAAAAATTTAATTTCGAAATAATTTAACTTTAAAATTTCGAAACTCACCATCCGATCCATTTGTGAAATCCATCCTATACTAAAAAAGAAAAAAATGTTAATCAATTTTTTATCATTTCGAAATTTTTTTCCCAAAAGCTTACCTTCAACCTACTAGTTATCATACTAAGAATTCTGATAATTAAGTCAAAGGAAAACAACAAAATAAAAGATGTTACTGTAATCAAACATCTTTTCATAAGGGTTCTGTCCTACAAAAGAAATAAAAAAGGTTAATAAAAACTTTTTTAATTAATTTTCCAAAATTTTTTTTTCGATACTCACTTGAAAATCCGGCGTCCACGTCGCTGATTTTCCTACAAAAAAAAAAGACAAAAAAAGGAAAAAAATGTTAGAAATTTTTTTTTTCTTTAAAAATTTTGAATTCCTATTTTCAAGACTTACTTATTTACAATATTTGAGATTCGGTTTTTCCAAGTTGGAATTTCTCTACAAAAAAGGAAAAAAAATGGCAAAAAAGTTTTTTTTTTAAAGTTTTGAGTTCCTTTTTCGAAACTTATCTATCTTACGCATCCAGACTTGTCTAAAATATAAAAAAACCAAGGCCGATTTCTCCTATGTGTCCAGGTCGTCCAAAAAAAAATGAAATTAGTAATCATTTTTAAAAGATAAAATAAAGAAATTTTTAGAAAAAGTAATAAACTCACCAAAATCCCATGTCTAAAGAACCAAAAAGTTACCTAAAAGAGAAAAGAAACAAACGTTAATAATTGTTACATTAAAGAGACTGGCCAAAACATTCCTCCTTACCAAAATCTTTGTCCAAAAATATCCAAAGAATACCAAAATTTACATCCGCCTAGAAAAAAAAGAAAAAAGTGAGGGAAAGGAAAGTACGAGTGAGATAGGGGAAAAATAAAAAGAGGGAAAGAGGAATTATAGAAGAGAGGAAAGGAGAGAGGTAAGTTTACCTAAAAAAGTTTATGCCAAAAAAAATTTAAACTTATTTTTAAACTTTAGACTTTTTTTAAGGTTTATACTTTTTTAAACTAGACTTTTTCTAAAGTAATATTAAATCACGTGATGCGTGTAATTATAAATATGAGCCTTTTTCCGATAAAAGATTTATTTTTTATTTTATTTTTTTTAGTAGAAGTGCGCGTATATCCATACTAAACTAACTATACATATGGGCCGATCCGACTCATTTCATTAATTAATAATCAGGTGATATAATTGAGGAATATATATGAAATTTGTGATGATCTGCAAATAAAATAAACTTAGATAAGCTTTCTACAAAAAAACAATATGGTGGGGAATCGTCGGGAATCGTTTTCCTATTGGATGTTGTAAATATGTAACATGTTAAAGTTAGTATAATGTGCTCTATTTTTATAACATTCTTTGCACATTATTATGTTTATTAAGGCATTTTAAACAGCAGTTTACGCTGTAAAACTTTTTTTAAATATATTAATAGGTTTATTTTTATTTTTTAGGCATTATTGTTTAATAATTATTGTAATTATTGTATATTATATGTATTTATATAATAAACAGCATATTTTTAAGGGTTATTCTTTATTTTTGACGGTATTTTATAATGGCTTTATTACATAAAAGAAGCGTTCAAAATATTTTTTTTGATTTTTTTTTCGCTTGTTACACTAAATTCGATTGGTTCGATATTGTCACACTTATTCTCATGTGACATTTGGTTGGTGAGTCGGATTAGCCCATATGATAAACCCCTAAAACAAATTTATCCTCTTTATAGTCTATCCAAAAGCATACCAATCGCACCCGTTGACATCCCAATCTTTTTTTTTTTAAAATGATGCAGCGCATTTCTTTATTTATTAGTACTGGGTACATTAAATATTTGAAATACCTAGAAACACTATCCCAATGGTTTAGTGCCTCTATAGCAACATGACCTATATAATAAAAAAACAATTCTGACTAACGTACTTACTCATACCAACCTATACCATATACCTGGTTAAGAACAATACAACCAAATAAAAAACCATGATGGAGCCTAAAAAAACACAACCAAAAAAGAAAAATAACTCAAGGCCTAACTAAACTACTGTACATAATGGAAAAATGAACTAAAAACTAAACAACACCCTTTAGGTCTCATCTTGCCTAGCACGTTAGCCCATCTTTTCCTACAGTAATTCATTTCCTGTAACCAGATTCTTGAAGATTTAAACCAAACTAAAAAACTCCCAAGTGAACGCTAAGCTAAAAGCAGTCGACATTAGTTCAGTCCAAAAATCCAAAAATCTAAACGAAAATCCAAGCCAACACATTTCACCTTTATTATCAAAAATTTTTACGTGCAATCACGTTACTTTGATTGTTGGAAATGTGTCGTGTAAAACTTTTCTCTTCCTCACTCTTAATTTTCTTCGTAATCTTCTCCTTCCAGCTGGCTTTCGTCCGTACCTTTAATGAATCATCTTGCTACACGTTGGCCTACTACCTTTGATCCGTCAGCTAGGTGATCCTCCGGTCCATCAGCTTGTAAAATCCACAAAAAAAAATTCTAATTCTCACTCTTATTTCCAATCCACTGTTTCAAAGAAACCAGCAATCTCAAAATTTGTTTCTCGGAAAGCAATTTTTATGTGTAACTACATTACCCAAGATTATCATCCATCTGTACATGTGAATTGCCGACTTGCCACAGTTTGTTGGTGAGGGCTGACCTTTGCGCCAATGCCAAAGAAATCTATCTGTGTTTCATCCGCATGCTAAACACTTTGCTGTGTCAAACAAGAACTAATGGTGACGAAAAAATTCCCACGAAAGTGAAATTCCAAAGAGCAAAAAACAAAGGCTCCATCCAAAGGCTACTGAAAAGTGAACTTTCTTTGTTTTCTCAGCCTGTGTCAGTTGACATCCCATCTCATTTATACTTCCAAATAGATCAAACATCTGATAATATTCAAAGACTTGATTACAAACCAGAGAAAAGCAACTCTAAAAGTAAAAAGTAAAGTTTTAGAGTTGACTAAAGTTTCACCATTTCCAACCCATGTTTATTTACTCTTATGCCAAACCTAAGTCCCTTTCAACTATCTTTTAGTTCGTATATTATTGAGACTCCCATGAATCAAAACAGTTCTTTTCATTAAAAAACATATCTATAGATAGCTGAAGGAGCGCGAAACCAGTTTGTGGCGTCAAAATATTGAAAAACTCTATGATAGAATTCTCCAAAGTCTTTTTTTCGGTCTAAAATTTTTGGTTAGTGATAGAGTTTTAACTTCTAAGATGATACTATACTTTTTATTAGTGATGCAAACATTCCAGATTTATTAAACAGACTTGAGGTTAGAGGTCATAAGCTATCCCACCAGCTGGCAAAGTGTATGAAATTTCTTTTAATTCACAAAGAAAGCCTTGCTAAAGTAATCTTTAGTGTAGGTCTAGTAATACATTGCCTTAATTGAGCGTGGCTACGAAGTTTATGATTCTTAAACTATATATAGTATATGTCAATATTGTTATGTTTAATTGCACAATTATACTATTTAAATTTAAATGCATAGTATATAACAATAAATTAACAATAACGAGTGTCTTATTATATTATTCTAATGCATTTTAATATTTTAATAAATTAGTGTTATGATAAATGGCAAAGCTAATCAAAATTTTACTTTTTAACATTAGGTAAATTTGTGGATCAATAAAAAATCATTGCTATATCATCAAGTTGAATAAAAGAATAAACTATTACATTTTTTTTTTAAAAAAAAATCGTATTATTTAAAATTAAAAAAAAAATTTTAAAAATTATTCGAGACGAAAAATAATGCACCTAGCGATCGACCCTATAGTCACATAATAGTCACATGCTAGAAGCATTAGCTTATTCATATATCAACAACATATTCAAAATATATTATTCATATATCAACAACATATTCAAAATATATTATTCATATTTCAACAACATATTCAAAATATATTATTCATATTTCAACAACAGTATTCAAAATATATTATTCATATTTCAACAACAGTATTCAAACATATATCAACAGCAAATTTGAAATATATTAACAACGTATTCAAAATGTTCACTATATCATTAGTTTAAGTACATGTTTCGAAAATATTGTAAAATTATTTTATTCATATTACAAAAATATTTACTACATTATATTAGTTTAAGTTTAAATTTCAACATATATTAAAAATATTATAACATTATTTTATTAATATTATAAACATATTGCGTATATTAAAATATGTAGAATATATATATACCATCTGTTGATAACATGTAGTGATTATGTCTAACATATTTTGTGAAAACCAGAGGTTTCTGCAAAGAAGTTAGAAGATTTACTAATGAAATTTTTAACATTTGCACATATTATGAGTCAAGACAAATTACAAAAATAAAAGAATTCATTTACTAGTTTGGTGGATTATATATTACGTAACTGGTTAGTATGCAACCCCTCTCGCAAGTCGTACGCCTTTCATAGTGACAATAAGCATATACTTTCATTTGCAATAAGACTAAACCAGTCGGAGGGGGAAATTTTGAGGAATCAAAATTGTCAGAACGTGTGTAATCAACTTCTCCTTCATAAAGTGTATTACAATCAAAACTCCCACTTAAACAATCATATATATTTGCGGATTTATCCTCAGAGTACCCATTTACCCATTGACGGCCATCCCAAACAGTAGAAATCAGGTCAGTTGGGTTAGTTGAGGCAGGGTTATAAAATTTATAATCGCCAATGATCATTGGCCCTTGTTGCAAACAACAAGGTGCATGTTCAGGATTTTCATATTTTGACGGACCATGTACGGTTACTGTGACCTGATTTTTTTGTGTAAATTCTATGTACGTGATGTCAATATCTTTCATTACAAAATAAAGAAAAGATGGTTTAATAACATCACGCTATCTTGGACAAATAAATAAATTTGGTTTTAGATAACTTACCTGTACAATCTCCTTTATATTCCCAAGCAAAGGTTTTGTGAAATATAAGAAATAATACAATAATAACCACGATATATTTCATGATTGATGAGTTGAAATCCCGAATTAAAAATGAATAACTGTGAGAACTGCAGTTTCTCTGGTTAATATATATTTTATCAAAAAATTCGGATTTAGGCATAAAGAAATTAAGATTATCATATTAAATATTAAACGAATTGATTTTGTACTAATTAAATTTGGAATATTATTATTAGTACTATTTAATAACGTGTATTATCGACCTATTTATCCTTTAAAGAGTCCTATTTGGAAAAGAATTTATGAGATTTACGGGATATGAAAATATCGGTGTTATACTAAAATTAAACCATTTGAAATTTTACCCCTTAATAACATTACGGGTTGTTTATGAAACGATCTACTAGAAATTAATTATTTACGTAGTACGTATTACTTTCATTATACGAGACAAAAGACGTCTAACTCTTTGAATATAAACGTTTTTATCAAATTCTATTATAAATTCTTATTCAGTTTTATTCCACTAGAATTTAATTTCAATTCAGACAAAAGTGGTCATGCAGTATGTACAACTAATATTGCTGATTTCAAAAATGTGTATGTCGATTGTTTTGTAGAACGAACACTGTGAACATATAAAATTTGAGAACAAAATTGTAAATTTTAAATGTATTTACAATAACATGCTTCAGCAATATAATTAATTACTTCTTTAATATTTAATATTAAGTATAAATAAAAATAGAAATGTCAAACTCATTGTACAAGAAATTTTACTATCTTACCAAAATATCCAATTATCGTTCGAATTGACAGGCTACGAATCTGACCCGTCGGGTCATCAAATTCATGGCCCGACCTCAGGTCGGGTCAGTCGTTGACCCGACATACATTTGGGTCAACGCTTAAGAAAAATTCACCCTAAAAGTTTAATAAAAAACGGTGCGAAACCGTTTTTATAATAATTCAATTAAAAAAACACGTTTCGCAACGCTTTTTTTTTGAAAATTTAATAAACAACGTTGCGAAACGTTTATTTGGTAGATGATTTAATAAAAAAACGTTTCGCTTGAATATTTATTAAAAAACGTTTCCTATCGTTTTTTTTTAACGTTTTTTTCTTAATAATTTGAATATATGTAAAATTTCAAGAAAAATGCCGAAACATTTTTCTTAATAACTTTCGGGTCAGTCCATGACCCATCTTGGGCGGGTCTAGTCAATTACCCGACCCAACCCGACCCGTACGGAGCTCTAAATTAATTGCGCTGTTGGAATTGCGAGTTTCAAATGAGTTGTAAATGAATTTGAGAATTCATTACGAAGTTAAAGCTATAAAAAAAGTAATAATATAAAATTTTTTTAAAAAAATAGTATGTTAATAAGTGTTGAGATAATGAGTTGTCGGGATTGTGAACGTCAGGATTTGGACGGCTCTCGTATATTAAAGCCATTGTCACGGGAATATTTTTTGTCTAAGACCGATAAAATATAACTCCCGAATACCTGGAATAATACCTGGATTAAATTACAGATAAGATTTATTCCATTTATACAAAAAATATAAAAAAGAAACTGGATAGTATGAGCCATAGCAATTAACAAAAGTCGTGATAGTGTCAGCAAAATCTCAAGCATCTGATTTCAAGCCCATCACTTTTCAAATCCGTCTTAGAATGTTTTACATACTTGAAATTCCGAAATAGTTTCAGCGGGATTAGAGGGATTAATAATTATAATTTTGCATTTGCTCAGCCGTGGTGCCCTATTTGCGATAGAAAACATGGGAATTATGGATTGCATGGCGAATGGCATAGAAATGGAATGGAATATTGCGATAGTTAAGTTCGCGATCATAGCATAGGACGAAATAGATCATGTGAAATTGATCACCTGAAATGCGCATTACCGATATCTATTCACTCCGTTTAAAATTATCAGACTAAAGATTTTTTTGCAAAACAATAGATCAAGGGGATAGGACTGTTCGACATAAGATTTTAGCACTTTTTTTTGTCATCAGGACTAATACCTAGTTTCCATTCCAAGGATCTCGTTACTAATCACGAATGCAAACAAATGAAACGGAATATTAGGTTAGGATGATGGTACAATGAACATAGCGAGTATCGTGAGGTGGATAGAATAGACGTAATAAGACTTCATCATGTATCATGTATCATTGTATTAAGCGAAGCTGTATCACGGTTTGATCCGATATGTATTTTTTTATTTACAATCAATAAAGTAAAGATGCATTAAGCACAATATATTTACATGATAATATTCCGCATAGTATGGTTGTGAGGATTGAGGGATTGTATTTGCATCCCAATAAATGCGCAGTATAATATTCAGGAAAATTATTTCTGAGATGATTGCTGTGCGACGTAAGAAAAAATTAACCGTAACATCTTGTAGACGCGTAATATTCTCGAACTTTCCCGCAGATACTCATGTAATAATAATAATAAAAAAAGACCCCTTTGTTGATCCAAGGGAGGCATGATCCATGTGGTTAGCGATCAAGGCTTATTATTACGTCTTTATGCGAATCCGTCGATCTGATTTCCGTGATGTCATCAAAGATTTAATCCAAATTCGATTCTTGGACTTCTGGAAATCAAAAAAGAAGGTGAGGTGATTATTAAATCCTTTTATCTGCCTTGCGCAAATTATAAGCAAACAATAAAGCGAAATATTCAAACTTACTGTATTCTCATCATCAATACCAGCAATCAATCAAACGAGTCTATTCCGAAATGTAATAACAAGGTACGATGATTTATTTCTCAGCAGAACATCATCATGATGCTAATCATTTTTCCGGCTTTATAGATGTACAGTACAAAGTCATAGCGGATATATTACCATTCTTGATTCTTTTTAACACATTTGATTGCTGAGAAAATCGTGATCATCATTAACATGTGCCTCATCGGCGCAGTGTTATTTCAAATTTCACCTGATTTTAATCACAAGATCCGTCATGTTTGGCGCAGTATCGTACTTGCGATAAATGATCAAAATATCTTAACACATTAAGCAACAAATTATTTCATGAATATAAGGCAGAATGCAATACTGTAAAAATGAATCGTAGTGGTAAGAGTGAATCGGCAATATTGTATTGCTTATTTTTTTTTTACCTCAGTTGCTAATCCCCGATTTATGCTATAGCGATAGTTTCGAAATTACTTGAAGTTCTCTCGAAGAGCTTAATACTTTATATGGCCCGTGTGGATGGAAGTGATATCGATATATGTAGATATTTGTAGAATTTTTATTTCAAAAATCTAGTGTAGAAAAAGATTGTAGGGATGAGAATCTTGTAATTAGCAATAATAGTAATAAAAACACATTAGCCGTAGAAATTTACAAGAAATGTGAAATAACTTTATGCTGGGACTCGCGTACTCTCCCCCTCCTTGATAGCATCATATATTTCACTTGCTTCTATTCACTTCTGAATCAATGACTCTTAATTTTTTAATGTGCAATTGCGTGTGATTTTTATTTAATAAAAAACATTAATTACATTAAGTGTACATATGTTATTTCATAAAGTTAAATTCTATATTTTTCTAAAAAATAACTTAGTGAATATACTGGAGTTTTCTTGAATATAAGCTTCTATTGATTTTGACTGAAAAGTTATGGTACCGGTACCTTTTGATGAATGATATGCAAACATATTAGCTTTTAAAACTTCACTATATTTCTTAGCATCCTTGAAAATTTTCTAAATACGTCAGTATTGATCTCTTTAGATTTCAACAAAGCATCAATTACACTTTTTCCTGCTTCATGATGTGTTTGATCTTGAAGGAGTTCTGCTGATGATTCAAATTTCTTCTGGACTTTAGCTAATATTTGACCCTTAATATCTATAGGAAAATAAGAGTCAAGCATTTAGTCCTAAACAGAATTGCATAAATTTGATTGATAAAATGAAGAAGCTAATTCCTACCTTCAAAGGGTTTTTTGGCCAGAAAATCATCCGCCACGTCCCCCAGATCTATAATGCGTCCTGTTTAGGATTCATCCAACGTAATGATGAGTTAGATCAAAAGTTAACCTGTCGTGTAGCGTTAAAAAAAACCATGTTTGATATGTTTTCTTTGTGGCGCAGCAGATCTTGTTGTTCTTTCGAACTACGAAAATCTTTAAAAGGAAAAGAGAACCAACCAATTCATATATCTTTTTGTATCTACTTTATTGATCTTGCGCTTCTCAGTTAGATACTTCATTGATTCTTCCCCGCTAAGATCAATTACAGCTTTTGCATGTGACCAAGCACTACGAGCTAAAATAAGAATCACGTTCTATAAGTAATACTATTTTCAGAAGTACAAAAAAAATAATGTCATACTTGCAGTCCATTCTTCTAGGCACCGAACCTTCACTCAGACAAATACAGTAAGGTAATTTCGTCCATCGGCACTTTTCTTTGCATCATCCTGGAGAAAATCAAGAATTCCCGGATCTATATGATGGCTAATATTGTCATAAACAGTGACAGGAGGTTGATGACACAGATTCTTTTTTTATACACAGCAGAAGCACGCTTGAAGGCTTCCAAGGCTCTTATCCACTTGGGATCCTCGGAACCCTTATCTATGAAAGAAAAATTGGGTCAAAGTTTTGTTTTAAGAACAATCATGACAGTAATGATCAATTCATGGCTGGTATCACTGAATATTTTCTTCACTAGTTGTGCTGAAAAGAAAATATTTTCCTCAAATTTAAAATTGAGAGCTTTTCCAAATGCTTTACCAAATTTTTCGCCAAAATTTTTTACGTAAGGAGCATTAGGAGGAATATGACTCCGCATCCACCCTCTTGATGCAATTCTAGTTAGAACAGTTTTTTCCGTTCCATGTAGGTGTTGGTTCAATATCAACTGGCGCAGTTGTACAGTCAAATGGACGCTGTTGTGAGGAATAAGTGCTGCGCTGCTAGTGTTTGTCCAGTGATCTTAAGTATCGGTTGATGCAGTTGCTGCGACTAGCTAGTGTTTGTCCAGTGGAGCTTCAGTATCAACTAGTGTGTCCAGTATCAGTTGATGCAGTTCCAGCTGTTATTACAGTCAAAGGATGCTAGTGTTTGTCCAGTGGATCTTCAGTATCAATTAGTGCAGCTGTTGCGATACGTTAAGAGTTTCCTTTATATATTTCCGACTTTCCGACGATTTTACATCATATTTGATTTAGGATATCAAATATGGTGTCAGCTGACTATTTATAAATTGTTAAAGATAATGTTGACGATCCCGTGAAATAATTAGTCTTTTTGTGAATAGACGTAGTAAATAGTAATCAACACGTTTCTTTGTATTTTATATTTGTCTATAAATGACAACAAAAACATGAATATTAATCCCATTTAAAGTTAATGACCTACATAAATATACTAATTTTCATTATATATTTTTTTTTTTTATATACCTGATTTTGTAGTATATATATACCATAAATAACAATGATTGTTTGTTGATCATTGTTACTATTTATTTAAGGGGCAAAAAAAGTAGTGCATAGTATCACAAAAAAAAAGAAAAATTAATATTCTATAAAGAGACCAACATTTCGTTTTTAAATATTAAATTAACCTGTTTTATTCATTTATCTTTTTTTTTTTTTTAAAAAAAAAAAAAAAAAAAATTTCGTTATTGTTAATTAAATTTGGTATATAATCAAAAAAACAAATTTTTGTTATTGTTACTTTTTGGCGTAAATGGGGGGTTATATAAATCTTTACTAAATTTGGAATTTTACTATTTCTCCGGTTTTTCCGGATTTTCATAAAGACAACAAAAAACCTATATATAAAAAAACCTATATATATAAATACACGTACAAGTAAAAAAAACTTTACTTTTCTTCTCGGATTTTCGTAAATATATAATTTTACGCACAAGTAAAAAGTAAAAACTTTACGAAAACCTATAATACAATTACTCTTCCTCCTCCTTGGGCGACAATTACTTTTCTTCCTTCTCGGACGAAAATCTATTTCTCGGACGAAAATACTTTTCTTCTTTCTCGGACGAACTCACCAAAAAAAATGGATATTTATTCAATTTTGGATCCAAGATATGCAGAATGTCATGATATTATTACAAATTATTTACAAGATGATTTAAATACTTTATATTCATGCATTTTAGTAAATCGAAGATTTTGTCGTATATTTATTCCAATACTTTGGAAAAATCCTTTTAAATTTATTAAAAGTCAAGAAAAATTACTTGAATTTTTTAATACAATAATTCATTGTCTTGAAATTAATGATAAACAATTATTAATAAAAGAGAAATTAATTAAAATACAAGATCTACCAACAACAACTAAAGCATATTTTGAATATAATAAATTTATTAAAGAATTTGAATTAAATCCAATACAAAAAGGAATGAGACTTTGGATAACAAAATATATAACAAAAACAACAATTGATGGAAAAGCTAGTACAAGAAGGATAAAAAATAGTGTAACGATAATTAATAAATATATTGGAAAATTATTTTTTAATAATGAAAAAAATGAGAATCAATATGAAACAATTAATATTCATTATACAGATTTATTAAGTGGACCAAATACTTTATTTAATATATATGAATTAAATAATTATGAAAAAAGTTTAATTAAAGTTAATAAATTAACTTTAAGTTTTTTTCATAAAAATATCACCACGACAAATTTATTATCAATTATGATAAGGAATTTTTTATTAATTCAAAATATTTTATCACCAAATATTCAACATTTACAAATTTCTATTGATACAACAAAACAACATTCAGAATTTACTTTAAGTTTAATTAAATTTATTAAATTACAAAATAATTTAAAATCTTTATTAATTTCACCATTTTGTAAAAAAGGTGATTTTAATTCATATTTTATTCCTTTTCTTGATTCTTTAAAAGTTCATTCAAATTCTTTAACATTTTTAAAATTAAAATATTTTTCAATCCCCGTTAGTCGATTATTATTAATATTAAAATTATTACCAAATTTAATTACTTTGGAAATTGATCTTATGTTTGAAAGAAGTTCCAATAATAATATTGATATTTCACGTGATATTTTGAATCTTTCAACTTTACTTTTTAAAAAATTCAAACATTTAGATTATTTTTATCGTGATATATTAAATTTAAATCTTCAAACTGATTCTACTTGTTCCCTTTTTAAACAAATCCTTTTATCTTCAAGTGATAATTTAAAATCTCTTAAAATTAGGGATATTTATTGTTCTTTTATTAAGGAAGTACAACAATTATGTAATTTAAATTTAACTCATTTTCATTTGATTATTACAAAAGAACTTAAATTAGTGGATTTAATGATTATGTTAAAAAATTTCCATCTTTTGGTTCATTTAAAATTATCCTCCACTTTTTCATCACAACAATTGAAAAGATTATCTATTACTTCGTCTTCTTTAAGATTATCTATTAATTCGTCCCCTTTAAATAATGATCATCAGTCTGAGAATATATTTAAATTATTCTCTCAATCCTTTCCTCCTTCTTTAAAAATTCTTGAAATCGATTTTCTTATTTCTGAAAATTATTTACAAATTTTACTTTTTGAATCTAAATTTAATCTTCAATGTCTTAAATTGTATGGTTGTTATACGTTAGAGAATACTTTATTAAGAAGTTTTATTAATTACCAAAAAAGAAATAATTGTTTTAAAGAATTAGGTATTGATCATTATTTACTACTTAACTTATCTGAAAGGTCATTGAAAGAAGCACAAAATTATTTTAGAATAACAAAGAATACAAGTATAGATGTTCCCTTTTATGGTAAGTTCTAATCATTTTTTATGTTGGGGACGGACGTCGTGACGTCAAACATTTCTTTTATTAAAAATTATTATTATTTTTTTTTTTTTATAGATATACCAATTAAAAATTCTCCTTGGAGTGGTTGTTGTAACGAAAGAAAAACCACGGATTATTAATGAAATTATCAATAACGCTTCTAAATTCTTTTTTTAAAGATAGTAAAGATAGTTTATATGTTATTATTTTTTTTTCATAGTATTTTTTTTTTTAAGAAATAAAATTCATTAGTTATTACTACTTTTATACTTTATGTAATCTAGTTGACTTAAATTCGTATAATTAATAAAATAACGAACCATTATTGTTTATATTAATTAAATGAATTTAATACGCATGTAAATTTTATACCAGACTTGTACGGCCTACGTAGGGTGATAGGCCACCAAGTGATTATTTAATTAAACATAACTTTCGCATGTTTTTGTTTCTAATAATTTTTATTTTGGAACTTACAAAAATATAATAAAGTTAATTAATCATTCCTAATAAAAAAAGTTGAATAATCGGGTGACGTCAGCGGATGGAAGGAAGAAAAATTGCATGGTTACCATAAAATCGTCTAATGCAGTACAATAGAATGTCCTTCGCTTACGCTCCGGATAATAAATAAATTAAGATTTCAAAGCGAAACTTTGAAATCCGCCAATCCAACGAAATCAGTTGGTGCAGGTACATAGCGACCGTCTTAAATCAGATTAAACCGCTCCACAGAGTTACGACCAGTCACTAAAAATTAAAAATTTTATTGTATATAAAAGAAAACCAAAACCACTGTCAACTTTGATCATCATCTCTAAAAGGTTCTAGGTTCGTTGATTCTCATCTATAAATTAACTAGGCAAACAGAAACCGTTAAAGTCCGTCGCGCTGTATCTTTTTTTATTATTATAATTTAAAATACGTAATACCAAATAGCAGTGTTACAAAATCATCAGTGAAACAAGTAAAAAGTGATACATAATCAAGAAAGGAAAAAGCGGGGGTAATTAGTGAGGTGACGTCAACGGATGGACAGAAGGAAAATTTCATGGGTTAATCCAAAATCGTTAGTTCGTTATAAGTGTATAAGTGCTCTACAATAGAAAGTCCTTCGCTACACTCCGAACAATAAATAAAAGAATATCTACTGATACCATCAATTTAGTCTAAAATCAAAAAAATAAATTTTCTTATGAGAATGCCAAAGTTCCCTCTTTACAATACTTACATTTAATTATATATACAAGTTTTTTTCAAAACTGTTTCTTAAAATAAAAGCAAAAAGAACGTTAACCTGAAGTTCCCCTCCTTATAATATTTAAATTCCAGTAATATTACTCCCTCAAGGTCTTTTCCTAAAAAAAAAAAAAATACTATTTTTTAAATGAAATCTTTGTTAGGTTAACGTTACTTAATTATTAACCTTCATAAAAAAATAAAGTTTTGATTGAATAATCTGATTCGATCATGTGTCTATTTTCATGTTCATCATAAGAAAGTCGCGTTAGTTATTAAGTTCCCTAGTTCCTTGTGACACCTCCATCCTTCCATTTAGTTTTAAGAAATAACTCTTTTTTTACAATATTAAAAGAAACTAATTCCTAAAAATAATTAAATAAAAAAAAAGCTTTACTAATTAGTAAGTTGATTAGCTAAAAGAAAAATATAAGAATGGTTGTAATAGCAAGTAAAAATACAAAATTTTATTATTACCTTACATTATTTTAAACCATATAATTCGAGTAAAATACTTCAATTCGTCAAGTGAGAATCAGCATCTCCAAAAAATAGTACCACCACATATTTTAAAAAAATTAACCACCATACCATTAAAAATTTAAAATATTAATTGAATTCTACTTGGACATACCAGATACATATTCATTATACAGTCAGTTCTTGACATAACTTATACCTAATCACGTGACATTTAACCAATAAAATACATCATCAAACCCTCATTATAACGAATCAGCCAATTAAATTCCAATAACGAATTTGAAGATTCGTTATATTGAGAGTTGGCTGCAGTATTTTATTTTTTAAAAAAAAATTTTACTATATTTACTATATTCAATATTTTATTTATAATAATTAGGTTAATTCAAAAGTCAGATATAAATAAATTTAAGATGATATTTTAACTTTTAAGTGGCCAGTTAATACTATTATAATTTATTTATAAGAAATATAAGAAATAATGATTATAATATCATTCTAAGGCACTAATATTGAAGTATGATGAATTTGCTAAACAAATTGCAAATGAAAATAAAAATATAAATATAACTTATATTTAATTATTTTATTGTAAAACTGTATGAAAAAGTACATATATAAATATTTTCTATATAATAACAGGGCCCTTGTGAGTCAAAGTTCGTCGGTTCTTATTGTATGGATGTAAAATATTAGCTAAAGTTTGTTGTATAGATTGCTTCCACGTACAGAAATAAAAAAAATTCTTTCTTTCGATATATATATATATATATATGGAAAAAAACTCTATTATTCCCAACTCCGCATGAAATAAATAATACTTATTCTTTATTATATATCCTTATAGGATCACTCTACTTTTTTACATTTAATTGAATAGCTTTATTGATGATATACAATAAATGAATACTGCTTTATTACATATAAATCATTACAAATATATTAATTTCTATACAATAAAATCTTAAATAAACTATAAATAAACTCGTAACTGATTTAATAACGTGATCTTGAGAGCCTATATAATCTTGCAATTTGACGCCCAGATTGTGCCACTTACTGAGCCTGTCGAATGACCTCGCCTAAACACTATACAATAAGTATATATTAATTAACTATATTAAAAAATTAAGTATCTTAATTATGAATTCCGATGAATCCTGTAAATCACTTATAATAATAGATAACTCATTGTAATTAATATTACCTTGAATTAAATTTGAAATTCTAACTAAAAATAGGTCCATTTAACCAGATAGCTTTATGAATTTCACTAAATCCTCCTTTTTATTATAAGGTCCACTCTAAAATTTCATCTTTATTAATAAAGGTATTTTCTAGATTCTTTTCTTTTTCTTTTTCATTGGTAACTTTTTTTTAATTGGTTACCAGATTTATTCAATGTTGAAAAATTTAGACAATTATTGAGTTTAGACAATGTCAAAACATTTTTTCAATATTATAATAACTGTTGCTAGTTAAAGTCTTTTCATCACTATTTTCTGCTGCTTTTCCTTTTTCATTATAATAACTGTTGCTAGTTAAAGTCTTTTCATCCCTATTTTCTGCTGCTTTTTGATGCCAATAATAGGCCTTTTCTAAATTCTTTTCTGTTCCTTCCCCATTTTCATAGCACATAGCTAAATTATTTATTGCTTCTTTATTACCATTTTCTGCTGCTTTTCGATACCAATAAAAGGCTTTGTTTAAATCCTTTTCTATTCCTTTTCCATTATAATAACTATTAGCTAAATTAAACATTGCTCTTTCATCACCATTTTCTGCTCCTTTTCGATACCAATAAAAGGTTTCTTTTAAATTCTTTTCTGTTTCTTCTCCATTATAATAGCTATTAGTTAAATAAATAGTTTCTTCTAAATTCTTTTCTGCTTTTTTTTCACCATAATAATTATTGGCTAAATTAAACTTTATATCAGTATAACTATTCTCTAATTCTTCTTTTATTCCTTTTTCATTTTCATAATATTTGGGTAAATTAAGTCCTGCATTAGTGTAACCGCTTTCTGCTGCTTTTTGATACCAATAAAAAGCTTTTTCTAAATTCTTTTCTGTTCCTTCTCCATTTTCATAACACATAGCTGAATTATTCATTGCTTCTTTAACACCAATTTCTGCTGCTCTTTGAAACCAACAAAAAGCCCTTTCTAAATTCTTTTCTGTTCCTTTTCCATTATAATAACTATTGGCCAAATTAAACATTGCACTTTCATCCCCATTTTCTGCTGCTTTTTGATACCAATAAAAGGCTTTTTCTAAATTCTTCTCTGTTCCTTTTCCATTATAATAGCTATTGGCTAAATTAAACATTGCATTAATATGATCTTTCTCTGCTGCTTTTTGATACCAATAAAAGGCCTCTTTTAAATTCTTTTCTGTTCCTTCCCCATTTTCATAAAAAATGGCTAAATTAAATATTGCTTCTTTAATACCATTTTCTGCTGCTTTTTGATACCAATAAAAGGCTTTTTCTAAATTCTTTTCTGTTTCCTCTCCATTATAATAACTATTAGCTAAATTAAAC